TAGCACATTAGTATTGTATCGCAGTACACCGGGGTTAGACCGGGGCGTTGGAGTGTTTAAGGGTGATTACACGCAACGACAGGGGTGGCTTTATTGGAGGAGTTTGCCAGTGGCGCTCATCCGCCATGGTCACGAATTTTTCTCATCCTTCCAATTCTTTCCATTCCTCTCTTCCATTTCCCTATCTACAATTTATCTCTATACCATACACCCCACCTGTATCAAATATTTCATACGTTCGCAAAAGTCCACGGATTAAAAATGGAAAAATTCCGAAAACAGAAAACACTCGAGCGCGTGGACGACGCGTGATCGAAAATGAAAATTGTTTAGGAAAGTTGGCCGAGCGAGGTCGCGTCCCGGAGGTTCAACCAGAAACCGACCACCCACCGCCCTCCGTTTGGAATTGATTTAACTCGCACGGTGCACGAGTCACGCCGCATCGTCAATTATCCTCGAACCGTATCCGCAGTGCGGATGCACAAGCGACTAGATCGGTTTGCTTCTGCTGTTGCTGTTGCTGCTGCGGGTGGCGGTGGCGTTGTCGGTTGGCGGCGGCCTTTCCTTTCCGCGGCCGCACGCTTCTCCTTCGTGAAAGTCGAAATGAGAACGACTGCATAGAATTGAATTTGCACGACAGTTTGACAGGGCCCTGGAGGTGGAAGGGGGAAATAGTATATAGGGCTAGGGTAGGGAAGGAGAGTGGTTGCTGGAGAGAAAGAGAGAGAGAGAGAGAGAAGGAGGAGGGGTGTATAAAAAGCACGGTGAATAATAGACTCCAACCCTCTCCAAACATCTCCCTTCTCTATGCATACCACGGCCACGGTGCCCTGGACCGGAATCTAGCCTTATACGTTCGAAACGTACCTTCCCCCCCTCTCTGCCCCACGCTCACATCCACGACAGAGCTTTGATAAACTTGTAATATACCTCGAGGAAGAGTATAACTCTGCTTGTCCGTCCATCCCTTTCTTTCCCCTTCCGGAAACGACGATACGCGATCTATTGGATCGTCGAGAATAGGAGAATGGGATCATCTTCCTCGAATTCATTTCTCTGGTACTAAATATACGCCAGATGTTACGAAAGTAACATCGACACTGTACACGCTATTAAAGAATGTAAAGAGTTTATTATTAAATTAGATCGAAAGCTTTTGTACGCGATCAGATCGAACGTCAGCATCTGACCGAATTTCAAAAGGAACGTCCCTGTAACTCGTACAATTATAGATAGTTTTTGATTGAAAGAGAAAGGAAAGGATATTATCCAATCGCGTAAAATTAGAAGAAAGATGATAAAAGGATTGGAAGGTGAGACGGAAAGTAGAGGAAAGACAGGAAGAGTCGCAGAGAACCGCAAACGCGCGACACTTTTCTCTCTCTCTCTCTCTTTTTGCAACTCTTTCACGAAACGAGAGGGCCACCCTGGTCGTCGGACAATAGCCGAAATCTGTTAATACCGGCACGGACGACAATGAGTTCGACGTGGCGTGAGCGGCTCTCGAATACCTTTTTACCGGCGCTAATCCGAATTCGCCGGTCGTCGGCGAGGATAAAGCGATCATCGTCCCGGAACGATGCGCTCTCGAGCAGGGAAGATGATTGGGAATATGGGGAGGGAGGGAGGGAGGGGAGAAAGAAATGGCAACAATCTATGGAAAAGGGAAGGGGAGGGAGGAAAAAAAAAAAGAAAGAAAGTGATTTTTGCCGCGATACGCGAGATTTCGCCGTGCTCCTCGTCAATGTACGGCCGATGGTGATCGACGAAAGCTGTTACGCGGCCGCCTGAACGACGTTAACGTCGATATTTCCCTGTAAACGACCACTCTGTTAGCCGGTGTTCCCCTAAACCCGGGGCCGAGATTTTCCGGGTCCGACTGCAAAGCGCACCGCCACGCAAAGTGGTTTTCTGTCGAAAGTAACGGGGCTTGGCGTGAACGCGATTTCGAACGCGTTTCGAGCGTAGTCCGCGCGCCAAATGGAAGGGAAAAAAAGATTAACGAAAATCGTGCATCCGTCGCCTCTTTGCCTCCATCGTCGTGAATTAGATATTTCGGGTACGCGTGTACCTTTTTTTTTTTTTTTTATTTTTATTTTTTCATCGATTATTCATCGAGGGAATTCGCCGAAGCGCAACAGCAACGTTTTACTTAGGAATAATAAGATTCTATCATTTAAAAAAGAAAAAGAAAGAAACAGGTATTCGCTATATCGAATATTTCAAAACACTGGAGGAAAAAATAATCCGGAAAATCTCAAGGAAATCATTTTTTCTACGTTGAAATTTTCATCTATTTCAAGCGCGAAAGGGAGTGGCGTTCCGTGGCCAAACAAACGGAACGTGCAATTTTAATCCCGGAATTACTTCCATTTTATTCCAATTTTCTTGCATTTAAACCGTCTAAGCGAGTTTACCTTCGCAATATCATTGCCGAGGAGCGTTGTGCCGCATCGAGATGGGGAAGCCTTGGGGGTGAGTGGGCGCATGGATGGATGGATGGATGGATGGATGGATGGATGGATGGTTGGCCGAGAAAGAAGAAAGCCGAAGGATGAGGAACGAAACGTAGAAGGTGGGCGGGGAAAGATGGGTCGGAGATGGAGAAGGTGGAAGTACCTACTCTAATAAATTTACGACCTAAAATGGTTAAGCAGCGTTAGCCCTGTTCTTTATATTTCCGCGAGAGAGGAAAGGAAGAGGAAGAGAGAGCGGAAAGCAGAGAGGGAGAAAGAGAGAGAGAGAGAGAGAGAGAGAGAGAGAGAGAGAGAGAGAGACTCGAGCCACCAACGAACAACTCACCTTTCTTCCGAGGAGGAAAGAGAAGAGAGAAAGAAGGAGGATACGGTCCTTGTATACGCGACAGGCGTCGTTAGTCGAGGGGGTGGAGGAGACCTGAGAGAGAGATGGATACAGAAAGAGACAAAAAGACGGTGGAAGGATGAAAGACGGGAAGAAGTGGATATATAAGAGATACGAAGGGAAATTCGCTTATTTTCCCATCATTTCGACGTGGCATCTTGTCCATGGCCTTTCCTCATCCACGGAGCCAGGAAAGAAAATTGCTTCTCGTCGTCGAGAGAGGAATATCGCTCTGATGAGCTCGGGAATGCCTCGATATCCGTTCCCCTCCGCTTCTTAACATTGCTGCCTTACCAGACAGTTATCCAGCTAACGCGGATGTTTTCGTTTTCCTTCCCGTATTTTTGGCCGTTCTTCCATCGTCGATTACGTCGACCAAGGCGAGGAGAACGACGACGACGGGGACATTCAATTTGTCGGTTATTTATTGTTCGAACGCGACACTCGTTGTCGCGGCGCCGAAGCTGGATGGAGCGGGGTGAGAAAGCGGAAGAAAAAAGATGGTAAGGGGGCGAGGAGGGGATTTAAGAGGGAGTTAAACGGGAAATTATGGAGTGGATTACATAATAAAACGAGGTCGAGAGAAATGGTACGGTGTCGTCTAGGTGGCGGCGTAGGACGAGAGGAGACGAGGGATATAGAGAGTTTGTTTGTTTGACGCACGCGCGTTCCGTCACGGCTCGCCGGAGACGGGCAGGATATTCGTTGCAACGGAAGTCTTGTTGGGAAATCCGATTTCAGCAGCTGTACACCCCCGCGCGAATCCGATTGGTTTATTATCGGTTGTATATCCTAACCATCCAATGGATGGTGTCGTTAAAAAAGAAAAACGAGATCGAGAAGATTTCTCCAACTATCTTTCACAAATTTTCATCAGAACAAATTTGTCTTAAAATTTAAAAAGTAAATTCAAGAATTGTTTTATTTATTTACAACCGCGCGAACCGTGACTGCCAATCCACGTTAACGATTCACAGAGCAGGGCCAAAAAAGGATGTCCACCGAACCGGCCGATCGTTCGCATCGACGGAACCCTCCTTCGCGCCTCTCCTTCTTCCCCCATCCCATTTGCTCTCTTTCTCGCTCCTGCCCGTACACTCATCACGGACTAAACGGAATAGGGCCTATCGGCGTGTCACTGCGGCACTGAATAATTCATAAGGCGAGAAGCCAGCAGCCGATACTTATCGCGATAGACTTTAGCGGGCTGCCAACAGCAGCCATGTTACAATAAAGAAATCAACATGGCCGACCGTCCTTTTCGTCCCTCCTTGGATATCGTTGAATCCCGTCCTCTCTCCCTCTCTCTCTCGCTCCTGTACTTCCTTCGGTCCATCTTGGAACAGGAGAGAGAGAGAGAGAGAGCGCCGTCACGTCGCTCACTTTCGATTTCGCCCCGCAGTTACCCTCGTTACCCTCTTGATCTCGAGGAAGGGTGGTCCCCGCGCGGACTCTCCTCACCCTACGAGATCCCTTCTTACCTCCTTTTCTTGGCCCGTGCTGCCTCCAGGGGTGGACCGCCCCGCCCAGAGACATTTCTCTCCGCAACCCCCCTTTCTCGTCGCCGAGGGAGCAGCAACACGGCCAACCTCGAACGAACTGAACGCAATGGGTTCGAGAGAGGATGAATGAGGCAGGGAGAGAAGATTAGAAGTAAGACGAGGAGAGGGAGTTTTGCAAGGGAGAGGAGAATGGGAATTCGAGAAAGGGAGGAGGGAAAGGGATAAGAGGGCTTTGGCAGCCACTTTTCTCGCCTGCACGGTATCGCGAGTGTAGCCAAAGGAACTCCATTTTCTTACTTGCTCGGCCCTTGTCTTTCCCTTGTCTCTCTGCAAAACTTCTATTCGATTTCTCGCTCTCGGGAAGAATTTTTCGAACCGTTCACTTTCCCACGAACGAGTATATCCGTAGATGTAGCCGTTCCGTTTCCAATGGTAAATTTGTTAAACCATTCGAAATGCATGATTTTCGAGGTCGAAAGTTGCATGAACGAGGAATGTAACCACGCTCCCGCCCCAGCAACCTTCGTTTTGATCGACGTTTTTGAAGTTTTGCACGGGGGTTGAAAGTTGAATTGAATCCGTTGCAATCCGCGTCGCCGACATATAACCCATTCTTCTACCGTTTTGTGTTTCCAGGTGTGGTTTCAGAATAGGCGGGCAAAATGGCGCAGACAGGAGAAGATGGAAGCAGCGAGACTCGGCCTCAGCGAGTATCATCATCCCGGCAATATGAGGTAATAATAATAACGAATCTCCTACGAACAACTCCTATAAATTGTACGTCCATTGCGCGAGGATAATTGTGACGATCGATACGATATGATTTTCACGTTTTGCAGAAACGTGGCCGGGCCGGCTCTTGGTCTGCCTGGAGATCCTTGGCTCACTCCTCCTGGTCTGTTGAGCGCTCTTCCCGGCTTTCTCGCTGCACCTCACACGGGATATCCCAGTTATCTAACGTCCCCGAGACGATTGCCGTCGCCGCCCAACGTTGGGGCTGTTGGAAGCGCGGTACCAGGTGAGACTCTCCTGAGACCGTACTCGAATGATCGATTTAAAATTATCCCCAAAATTGTCACGAACGAACTCTGCCGAATCGTGAGGCGTTGCTCGTTAGATTGCACAAAGTATCGTTAGTTGCGGACGCAAGTAAAAATATAAAGATGTACGAAATTGTTTTTCAGGTGGGCTGAGCGCAGGGATGACGAGCATAGGGAGCGGAGGGCACGTCCCGGCGGCGCCACCGAGTCCGCCTGGTCACGACCCGCGCACAACGAGCATCCAGGCTCTGAGAATGCGGGCCAAGGAGCACGTCGAGAGCATCACCAAAGGATTGCAAATGGTCTGAAGTTTAACGTACGACCCAGGAAGGCAGTATCAACCCGACTACGGCCAAATCGTGGCCACGCTCTTAACACCGCGGGCGTGACGAGAAGCGAAAACTACCACTCTCCCCTAGAACAACTAGATCCTTCGAGAAACTGGAGAAAACGCTGTAACGGGCAGACGGATCGACAAACACGTTTCCTCGTCCCTGTTTCCGCGGCGTTTCTGGTGAAACGACTGGTGAACCGAACGTTTCCATCCCACCGTTGGAAGCACCGTTTTATCGGTAATCGAACACAACGCGACGAAGAGTACGAGGACGGGATCTGGAAAGGGACGATTATTACGCGTTCGATTATTAATTCCCAGTGGAGATAATAATGGAGAAGGAGAGGAGAGGTTTAGTCGTTGGTTTAACTGATTGACTAGATCAAATTTTGTTGTATCGTTGGTTGACGAAGGGATGAAGGGAAGCGTGTTGCGTTCGTTCTCTTGTGACGGAAGAGACGGAAAGAAAGAAGAGAAATTTGAAATTCGCCCCTCGGTGGAAAAAAATCGAGAGTAATCCCAGTTTCGGTTTTTGGGTGGTCAGTTTTTTCCGGTCGAACTAGTTCAGGATAACAATAGTGCAATAAACGAGAAAGAGGAAGGGGGACAGAGACATTTTTTCGTAGTGCGTTCGTACGGACGGAGGAGTAGCTGTAAGATCCAAAGACGATTCTTTCCGGTTAGAACTGCGAAGGATAACTCCATAACTTCCTGAACGATACAGCTCAGTAAGTAATATATTACGTATAGTTTTAAACAAAAAGGTTTTAAAGGTTTCGCGAAAACCGACGTCCCGTCGAAATCCTGTTATTATACGGATAAAGATTTTTATTTTGCGCGTATATATCGGCGAAGAAGCGAGCGGCGACCCGGAAATGTTCAAACGACTCGGCCACAGAGTTTTCGTGCGACGTGTGAATTTTTCGTTAAGAGCCACACGAGTCGCGTTAAGAGTGCACGGTGTGCTTTCGACTTCGAAATCGAAACGGACGGTCTTCAAATTCGGAACACGATTTTTAACTATATCGTTAACGATATTCGTGTTCTAAATTTAACGAACGAAGAATTCGAATCGAAAGAATCGAAACGAGACGACAAACGTCTTCTCGATCGTCATAATTTTTCAATCGAGTTGCCTTGAACGTTGCGAGTGAAAAGTTAAAGTCGAGGGGAAACGAGTCGATCCGAAATATTTAAAATCCTTTCAATTTCTGTCACACTCTTAACACGATCAACGACGCTGTCATTGAGATATCGAGAGAGAAAAAGGAAGAGAAAAATTTCCAAATTTTCTCCACGGAATCGTGGAATTATCGGAACGAGTCACGGATATAACGGAATGACAGTTAGAGTTGATCGGTGGGCGTTCAAATATGCAAAGTGGCTGTATACCGACGAAATGAATTGGTACAAACCGCGAAGGGGTCAGTGGCCCGGCCGAGGCGATCGTTTTCCACCTCCGTGTAAACTAACGGTCTTGTATCCGAAATACGATTAGCATAATTGTTTGATAATCATGTACCTCGGATAGAACGAACGAAACGAGCGGAATATTTGCTATTTTGCGGCCGACATTTGTCACTTACTTTTTTTTTCTTTTTCTTTTTTTTCTTCTTTTTTTTTTTTTTTTTCAAACGTAGACGCGGACGAGGCACGAAAATGGATTAACGAAGAATAATTGACCAGCGAACGATTATTCGATTAATCATCGAATGAACGTCGAGCGTCGAGCGTGAATCCACAAATTTTAACGAGGCGAAATTCTTCCAGAATTTGTTTAGCGAGTCGCTCGATCAGGAAAAGATCGAGCTGTGCGATGAACTCTCAGAGACTAGATCAATATTTCTTGTAGCATAGAGGTTCGAAGTGAGAGAGAAAGAGAGAGAGAGAGAGAGAGAGAGAGAGAGAGAGAGAGAGAGAGAGAGAATGATGAGACACATTTTGACATAAACAATATTCTGCAGTATTAATACGTTAAGACAAAGAATTGTGCATAAAGTTACGTAATAAACGATCACGATATGCGGATACCGCCGCTTGAGAAGGAAGGGGGACTGGCTAGATGTTCTTTGGAATCCAAGAGTTTGATCGAAGAATGAAAACGTGTCTTAATGTAACCATGAATTTTACGTTCTTCGAATAGTACAAATTTTATAATATAAACCCTGTCAAATTATGATCAACCATCCTTGGATGTGACAAGTTACGATCATCCGTATCATGTTCTATACAATGTTGCGTCTCTTTATCACTTGCACGATTTCTTGATCGCCTTGCGCAATTTCGTAAATATTCTTCAAGGATTAAGTACCTTCTTAAGTTTCTTCAAGTCCATCAAACTGTTCGATTCCTCTGGCAGTTTCCAGTTTCCAGAGAAAGCGGCGGCAAGGAGCTCTAAGTAGAGGGTGAAAGAAAGAACGTAGACAGTTACCCACCCCCGGATGTCTATTTGTATATATACCTGCTCGTGATGAAATAAAATTTGATGTACATATTTAATCATACCACACGTTCGTTTTGAACAGGATCGTTCCATCCTCGCGTGGGAAAAAAAGAAAAAAAAAAAGAGAGAAAAAGAAAAAAAAAAAAGAATCGGTGGTTTCGGAAGAATCGAGGAAACTCGAGCTTTCGAAACACGATGAAATTGCAACTTGTTTTTTTGCGAAGATCCTCTAATGAAATATCTCCCTATCTGTCTCCCCGCTATCTGTATCTCGCCACTTTTCCTTTTTTTTTCACCTTGAGCAAGCCGATCGATCGTTTCGTTCCCCCGTTTTTTCCGCTTTTCCCCATTTTCTTCCTCCGAAGGGACCGCTCTCTCTCTCTCTCTCTCTCTCTCTCTCTCTCTCTCTCTCTCTGTTCCGATCGATCGTTTCGTTCGATGGCGACGCGTTAATAAAGCACGATAAAAAAAAAAGGATGAGGAGGAGAGGGGGGAAGAGAGAGAGAGAGAGAGAATCGAGTGGAGAAAAAGGAGAAAAGGGAGGAGGAGGAGGACCCAAAGGTCCCACGGATTTTTAATTGTTTCCGCGCGAGGCCGCGGCGTATTTGTTAAAGAATTAGCATTTCAAAGAACGATTTCAATTAAGGCTTAATTAATTTCGCGGAGAACGTAGGAGCCAAGTTGAGGCGCGCCTCGCTCGTTGTTCGCCTTACTTTCGACTTAATTGAAATCGAAGAATGAATTCTGCCAGTCGAAAGAGTCGGTGGAAGAGGAGGGAGTGGGGAGGAGATGGGAAGGGGAGGGTTAAGGGGGGTGAAAAACGAGAGAATTATTAAAGATCACCGGGACGAATGTTTCGATTTGCGTGGTTGTTATATTTAATGGAGGTTGACAGTTAAATGTTTTTCCATTTTTCTATTTCTTTTTTTTTTTTTTTTTGTTTTGATGTGTTCCAAAGTGTTCGACTAATTTCAAAACTTTTGATCGTACACTCGTTCGTGTGCAATTTGCCGATTAAAAAATGGTGTGAAACGAAGGTAAAAATATCGGGACTAAAAAAGAAACATTTTTTTTTTTATTTATATAAAAAACAAAATTTCAATCTTTTTAACGTTTCCGATTGATAAATTGACAAACGGCACTCGTCGTCGCCCCTTTCAAAAAAAAAAAATCAAAAAAAACCACGATCTCGACAATAGCCTCGAACCACCGAGGTCGAGATAGAATCATAATCGAAAAACTCGTCTACCACCCCCGTAATTCATCCACCGTGCCGTACAAAGGGTCTCTCGCCAGCCCTTGAAAACGAGGAGAGAGGGGGAGGGGAAAGGAAAAATAGGGAAGAACGAAAAAAAAGTGAAAGCGAAAATCTGCAAAACTGCATAAATCAAGGGAAAAGGAGGGAAAGGGAGAGGGAGGGGAGGAGACGCGCTCCGGCTGGTTATCTTTTTCGGGGGTGGCGGGAAAAAAAAGCGGGGGCGGGCGCGGTGACGGGGCGTGAAAGGATTCGACGTTAACAGCGCCAACAACGCCGGCTCGCTGGAACAATGGTGCTGAATGGTCCCTGAAACGATTAGGTATTCCAATCGTCGCGTTAGGGGTCGCTGTGAAGTGCGGCAGAGAGAGAGAAAGGGGCTGGGAAGGGGCCGGCGGTAAGAGGGTGGCAGAACTCGCCCAATAAAATGGTAATTCCTGTTTGCAGAAGTTAACCATGCGAGCGAGCCTGGAGATTCGAGTCCATGCGTACTCCCTAACTCCAAAGACTAATAATACTCTCGGGGCCGAGAAGTGAGCTACCGACAGTGATATAGTTGTACGAAAGGACGAAGATCGTGAAAACGCTTGTGTTACGCCGATAATCTTCGCGACTCTTGGAAGTCCATCCATCTTTTATGGATGGCCGTTTATGCGTTTTCGTATCGTGCGTGGATGGATCGAGTGGGGGGAGCTCGATCATGTTGAAAAAAAAAAAAAAAAAATAAAAAAACAGGAAACTTTTCTCGATTAGCTATCAACAATTGGCGGTGATTCGGGATAATAGGATACGACCACGAGAAACAGAGTTTAATTTGGATAGTTATTCTAATTTAGATATTCTAAATTTCGTAAAACGATTACTTTCTAAAAGGGTTACTTTCTAAAACGATTACTTTCTAATTAATTTGCCATCTGTTTGCACGATGATTAGGTTGGAAATCTTGGTTGTCGTAATTGTTTCACGCCGAATTCATCGGTCAGCAATAACGCGTATATATATATCGCGTTAAGAGACATCATCGAGATTGAAGGCGACTGGTCTCCACGGCAATCTCTTAAGGGCTGAAATTGGCACGGAAATCGTGGCTTTATTAAATTTGTTTAGGGACAGGTAAGGGGGTGGGGGGAGGGAAGGAGATAGCGGTTGAAAGAGTGGGCTGGTGAGGAGGACCTAGATTCTGGCCGAGCCAGAAGATTCCATCCTCGTCTGTCTAATATCGCTCGATGCCTGGCCTGCCTAACCTTATTGCCTCGACAAAGTAAAGAACCGACAA